CTCATAAGGATATCTTTACTAAGTTGTTATTTATCGCGAATAAAAAGCAATTTATAATATTAAAACGGGTATAGTTCGCAGGGTGTAGTTTGTTTTTATTAAACCCTCGGGGATGAAGAAGAGTAGAGGGTAGGGTTATAAAAAGCAATTTAATATTTTATTATTGTATTTAGATTCACATTGAAGGAGATATTGTCTAGCAAAAAATAAGTTTAAATTGAATTCCTTGGTCCCTTCGTAACCCCTTGGCCCCTTTCCTAAGAGGGCGCTTTTTCTCTGTGTTTTTTTATGGGTACTAAACCTCTCTGGCTACTCTACTTGAACTCAAGTTGTCTTGAATCGCGATGGTGCAACGATTTCTTCACTCCCGCTCGCCCTCCACTAGTGACCGCACTTTTCGCCCCTTGCCTTATATCTTCCTTTCTTTCCTTCTTTTCTCATGATACACGTCCGAGAACTAATTTCTAACTGACCAAGAGCTTTGACTTATCTTTAATTGGATCTTCAAGATTACTTAATTTTTATTTTAATAAAAAAAAAGCTTTCTTTTCGCTCAGAAAAATATTTTTACACTAAGAAAATTCACAGAAAAAAGCCGACTTTATTGCGTTAAAAATTTTTTTTTTGGTTATTAATTCTTGCTTTAATTAAAATCTGTTATTATTTGGTTCAAAAGTATGTTTTTAACTCAATATAATCCAAAAACATATTTTTTGGATAAATGAAAATTAAAACCCCAGATATTACTTTATTAAAATTTTTAAAATTTATTTTTCTGAGAAGATTGTCGAGTGTTCTGTCTGGATAAAAAGCTGCAGGGAAAGAATTTATAATTCCACGTGTAGTGCTAGAGGACTTTTTCGGTGAAATTTCCCCAGCAATGTTGTTGGGCTAAAAAATGCGATCCAGCACTCACCAGGCAGTATTCAAGGGTCGCGACGAGGACCAGTGTGTATTTATATATGTACAAGAGTATCCCTTGTATACTTATATGCTGACGATCATTATATCGCCAATTAAAAGACAGCAAACTCGGTACAGAGTACGGTGACGCCTAACAAGCTTCCTGGGGGAGTAAAACTCACATTTACTCACTACGCTGGTACATAACCGTATACTTGGCCCCTAATCATACAAGGGCCCCTACTCAATCTACCTCTATCTAAATTATTACGTAAAATAATGATAATAATAATAAAATACCTTTTTTAATAATTATATTAAATACTCAAGTCCTTATTTTCGAAATTCTAACTCGAGAGTTACAACTACAATTAAATCGACGTTTAGAAATGTCAGTAAAAAGAACTAATGACATTTTTGAAGATATAAGCTCACCCTGACATTACACTCATTGAGAGCTTTCATTTGAGTACCCACATCAATTTTTCATATATTTATATATATTACATATATATATGTATATATGGAAAATATATCAAAAATGCATGTGGGTACTCAAATGAAAGCTTTTGATGAGTGTAACATCAAGATGAGCTTATATTTTTAAAAATATCAATAATTAATAACTGACATTGCTATCTTGTTAACTAATGACATTTTTAAAGATATAAGCTCATCCCAACATTACACTCATTGAGAGCTTTCATTTGAGTACCCACATAAATTTTTCATATATTTATATATATTACATATATGTATATATGAAAAATATATCAAAAATGCATATGGGTACTCAAATAAAAGCTTTTGATGAGTGTAACATCGAGATGAGCTTACATTTTAAAAAACTTCAATAGTTAAGAAAATACAGTGGAATTTAACAAAAATCATTATTTAATGAACAAATAAATTTTTATTTTTAATAAAAATATTTTTTATAAAAAACAGAGAGAGAAAAAAGGTAAAAAAATTAATTAGCATTAGATTTGTTTGATGAGGGTGCGTCGTAAAATATTTCACGGTCTAAATCATTTGGGGTGAGAGTGCAGGTGGTACAACAGTGGTGACTGGTCTCAATTAGTTAAACTTATGTCGTGGAGTCCAATTAGAAGCACGGGGTTGCTCGAAAGCCTGTTTACACAAGTTTGACGTTCCCGCGTACAGTAACTTCTGTACACTAGTGCCAGATATAGACGTATGTACAGAGTACACTCGGGTACTGGTTTCAGCACTACTGTGCCTAGTGAGTACATCTCAAAACATACGCGTCTACTTCTGCTCCCCGTCGCTCTGTTCCGCGTCCACAGGCAAAGGTGTCTTTTTCCTCCGCTAATGACTAATTAGCAGCCACTCCTCTTGTATACCACGTATAATGACACACGATCTTCAGCTTTTAATCATTATCAAGTCCTACAGCCTTTCCTGCCCTCGTCTCCAACTAGTTTTTATTTATTGCCTCGGTTATTTATTTTTTAATTAATTTAAACATTTCTTTATCGCTAAAATTAATTTAAATATTTTTTTATCGCTAAAATTAATTTAAAAATTTTCTAACTGCAATTACATCCGTAAAAAGATAGTGTTGATAAAAAAATAATAATCGAAGAATTTAAAAAGTATTTCTGTTAGTAGATATCAGCTCGTGTCACGCGATATTGGATATCTTCTCGAGTCGGTCAATAGAGCACGGATTTATATTATTTTTGTTGGAGACAAAAAAGGAGAAATTGAATTTAAAAAGAAAAGAGATTACGTTGAGAATGCCCTATCAGTGATAGGGGACAGGAGACGTCCGTCTCAGTTTATGTCATTCGACTCCGAGCTAGAATTGGAGTTTTATATATATATATATTAGACTACCTTCCGATTTTCTACGCTTAGCTGTAGAGCAAGAACTTCTATTCGAGAGCCCCGAGTCCAGAGAAAGCTACCCGGTAGGAAGAACAAGGGGTTTAATAAAAATGTCAAATATAAAGTAGCCACCGGCAACGGACATTTTGGAAATAAATTAATGCTAAGAAGAAATTGATGGGCATCTAATATAAATTTTTGGTTTTTTATTTTTACTATTTATCAATTATTAATCCTGGTAATTTTTTTTTGTTCATTATAAATTATAAGTGATTTTTTAAATTGTATTTATATCCAAATTTATTTTTAATCAAGACAAGTTCTTAAAAATAATTTTTTTCTTGGATCAAATAAATTTTTTTTTGTTGCTCAGTAAAAAATTTTGGGTCATTGTGTCAAAAAATTTTGTGTTAAAAATTTTTATGTTGAATATTTAACATTTTTTTGTGTTAATTTAACACAATAAATGTTAAAGTTACACTTGAAAGTGTTAAATATTTAACACAAAAATTTTTAACACTAAATTTTTTGACGCAATAACGCAAATTTTTTACTGTGTGTAAATAAAATTAATTTAAATTCACAATGAATATTTGATAAAAGTTCTAGAAATAAATAAATGGATAAAGCAGTTGGATGAAACCGAGAAAGCATATAGAGTCAGAAAGCATGTTCGGCGCTGGAGGGGAAGAAGCTGGGGGTTGTCGTTTATAACTCTTACTTTTACGGGTTTCCCAGTTGAGCCTCGGAGCTTCAGAGAAGGCCAATTAGCAGCATAAAGCTGGCTGCAACACGGACTCCTGTGTTGCAGGGGTGAGATGTTTGTATGTAATAATGGATTGTTACTCAAAGTATCCGGCTAATTAATTAAGCTCTGCCCTCCTCGGCGTCGCTCTCATCCTCATAATAATTTCCCTCACAAGCGTATCCCAGTTGGTTCACTTCCGTTACACAACAGCCGAGAACCGAGCTCGGGATTCATGTATCTGTATCATTCATCCCCCACCTTCCACCCTCCACCCTGTCCCCGATCTGAGCTTACTCTTGTCCACGGCGTTCACGTATAACTGTGCAGTATATATTACAGCAGCTAACCGGTAAACTCGTATCCAACGTCACACCTATTTGTTCGCCGGAACGTACTCAACTTCAGCAGCGTCCTATCCAAAACCATTGTTAACGTCTTCCTTAACTTCTGCACCTGACGTGCTATCACCACTGCTTAAATTATTTATTATAATTGCTGCTTGTAATTATAGCACTCAGACACTTATAAAAAAATCACTTTAATAAAGGGAATAATTGTTGAGCATAAAAAATTATTTTTAATCAAGTGAAAAAATTTTTTAATTAAGAAATTTCTTTTAAAAAAAAAATTTAGTCAATAAAATTCTTTATAATGTTTTTCTTGGTAAAGAAATTTTTTTTTTAATCAAATTAATTTTATTTATTGAGCTATATATTGATTTATTAGATCTAAAATTGCCATACAAACTCATATAATTTTTTACTAAGTTTAGTATTGAAAATTTCCGACAGATGGCGCATAGTTGCTAAATATTCTCGCTTTCAGACAGTTAAGTTTCAGAAAATAAGTAATAAAAGAAAAATCATTCTTTGACGTATGAAATTAGTAAAGGGAATAATTGTTGAGCATAGAAAATTATTTTTAATCAAATAAAAAAATTTTTTAACTAAGAAATTTCTTTAAAAAAAAATTTTAGACAAAATTCTTTATAATGTTTTTCTCAGTAAAGAATTTTTATTTTTAATCAAATTAATTTTTATATATTAGTGTATTAATAATTACAATAATTATTAATCAATTTTATTTTTTCACACGAAAAAATTTTCTGATGTAGTCTGACATAAAAATTGGCCATATTAAGCTATATATTGATATATTAGGTCTAGAATTGCCATACAAACTCATATATAATTTTTTTCCTAAATTTAGTATTGAAAAGCACCAATAGATGGCGCATGGTTGCTAAATTTTCTCGCTACCAGAGAGTTAATTTTCAGAAAATAAGTTATAAAAGAAAAATCATTTTTTAAGGTATGAAATATTTTATTTCTCGGTATATTTAAAATATTAATTGATAAATTTAACAAATAAAAATTTATTGTAGTAATTTTAATAAAATTTACATTTGGGAAATTTTCGTTAGGAATTTTTTTGTTAATTCATGAAAGATAAAATTTTTTTTGAAACTCAATTTTTTTATGTTCGAATCTTCAAAGACATGATAATAAATATCCAAAGTAAAGAAACAAACATGTGTGTGGTCTAGAACCTTGGAGTGAATAAAAAAGAGCGGGAAGATAAAAATAATGAATCGAGAGTTGTTTTGAAGTTTAGTAATCCTGAGTATATACACATAACAAGGATCTGTTGTGCTGGCGCCATTCGTTGCGGACACGACCAACCCACAAGCCCTCTTTACCCTCTTTACTCTCTCGTTACATTAGTTATTCCTAGAGTGTATATTTATATATAAATATATATATATAAATGTATAAAGTATCAAATGCATACATACACACATACACAAACAGAGCTAGCGTAAAAGTAGCGCAAAGGAACCAGCGAGGAGTTCACTATTGCACTGTAATACTGGCAGTGTAGCGGAATCCTGTTGGACCGGATGGAAACGGAAGTGACGCATTTACTTGGAAGCTCGTAGAACTTTCACGATTTGTAAAGGGCTTTGTATACCAGAGAAATATATGTACATGTTACGGTCGCGATGTATAGAAAATAAAAAAAAAAATATATTTATCTATATAAAAACCGACTGTTATAAATTATCGACACTCGTGCCGCTCGATTTAACTTCCGAGGCTTTCCAGAAAAATTTATCTGCAAAAACTACCACTCCAATCACTAAAAACGTCTTTGCATTACGTTTTTTGTACTTACTAGGTCCGGATAAAAATTCGCAACCTCTTAATTGTTTTATTGACAATTTTTCAGTTAGGGAAATTGTTTTCTTTTTTTTTATTTTACTTACTGAATAAATTATTAAATTTATTTTTCAGACGGCGGAGTAACTCCAATCATGACGATGGACGTGAGTAAATCGGAAACGAACAAAAACGGCTCGGCGCAGCAGGAGATATGCGCGGGATGTCACAAAACCATAACAGAAAGGTTAATTTTTTTTATTTGACAATTAATCCGATATATTACATTGTAAAAAATCTGAAAAGTGAATTTTTTTATTAAATAAAAATAAAAAATTAATTATTCATTTAAAAATTCATATTTAGCGATTGGAAAAATTTATTAAAATTTTTTTTTGAATCATGGCATCAATTTGTTTTTCAATTTTTACAAACAGTAGTTGTTAAAAAATTCTCTCTAAAATAATTTATTTATTAAGAAATATTAAATCAATAATGATAATTATAATTGGTTATGATTCTTGTGATTTAGGTTCCTCCTGAAAGCCTTGGACCTACTGTGGCATGAAGACTGTCTGAAGTGCAGTTGCTGTGATTGCCGATTAGGCGAAGTAGGATCAACATTATATACAAGAGCCAATCTGTTACTTTGCAAAAGGGATTACCTGAGGATATTCGGCCACGAGGGGCATTGTTCGGCTTGTTCCAAATCAATACCGCCCTTCGAGATGGTAATGAGAGCTCGGACGAACGTTTACCACTTGGAGTGCTTTGCGTGCCAGCAGTGTAATCATCGGTAAGAAAATTTATTATTTATCCATTTTTTTTACAAAATTAAAAAGTTAATTATCAATTTTATAAAATAATTAAAAGGTAAAAATTCAGGTCAAAACCTTTTCAATTGACACTAAGACAATAAGACATCAAATATCAATGAACAGGATATCCAGGACGTCTCTCAATCTTAAATTTTATTTTCTGCTCCTTCTACCGTCACTCATTTCCGGCTTCATCCCTTCCAGGTTTAGTTACACCTCCCCTCTTTCTCTATAAACTGTAAACTATGCGACAGTAGTTTCGCACCGATACTCTACACAGACAATGAGACATAAGCATTCACGATGAGAGTCTACTCCTCCAGGGGTTGGTTTACAAGCCAATTGGGAAATCATCCCTCTCGCTTTATTTTTTTTCGATCCATTTCAAGTAAGGACTTTCTCATCAGCCTACTTACACTCCGTACTACATTTTTATTTCTTCGTTCTTCTGCTGTATTATATATAATTATTCCTCGCGTGACAGTTTTATGTCCAATATATTTGTCCCTCCGGCTTTAACATTTGTTTATTAACAGGTGAGTTTTACTGTTTTTTTTTATTGCCGGCTATTGTCAATCTCGTTTTTTATGTATTCAAAAGTCACGTTTCCCGTGTGAAATAGATACCATGGATCCATTTGATTTCCCTCAGGTAATTCTCTGATATTCCAAAGTTATTTTCTCTAATAAATGTGGTAATTTTTGAGAATGCTTAGATTAGATCATTGTTCTTTAACAATTTTTATTTTTATCTCATAATTTTGATTTTATAATTACAATTTTATGATCTAATAAAATTTGAGACCCTTGTAAATAATTTTTAATGCTTTAAAAACCCCGTATAGATTTTTTAAAATTTTAGTTCCTAAAATTTCCGACAGGTGGCGTATGATCGCTAAATATTCTCACTACCAGAGAGTTAATTTTTAGAAAATAAGTAATAAAACAAAAATCACCTTCTTGACTCTTTTAAAGAGTTTATTTGACATTTTGTAGGAGTTTAATTAATTTTTATTAAATAAAATAATTTTTTTGACTTAAATATTGCTAAAAAAATGAAAAATTATCTTTTTATTCTCATATTTAATTTGATATAACCGGCTTTATATTAAAAATTTTTTAAGTCACTGTGATGATTATTATCACCAAATAATAATCTAGTTTAGAAGATTTTTCCTTTACAAAACTATCTATAAGTTTAGATGTATTAGTATATTGCAGCTTCACGAACAGTAAAACGTTCCTAATGGGGTCGCACATTGGCACTCGAGGATTTCGATTATTTATTCATCAAGCCCTACTCGACAACTCTATCCGTCCTGTCCGTGCGTCGTTTGGTGACCGCGGAAGTTCTCCTTCTCACTTGCTCTCTGGTAGAGTAACACGGGGACCCTCGTTAAAGATTCACCAGAGTTATCTGAGCGCCCAGATTGAAATTTTCCATGCACAGACTCGTCGAGTGTCTGTACTTTGCTCTCTGCACTCTACCAGACACTCTGTGTATAGGTTAGAAGAGAAAGAGGAAGAGAGAAATAAACAACTACAGGAAGGACAGACTGAGATTACTTTATGCTATTTCCTGTACTGATATTAATATTTTAACACGGGCTGTCAGTCTGTCGCCGTCGATTTAACTGGTTATCTACTTTTTCTTTGAGATGTTATTATTATTTATACACTTTACACTTTTTATGCTTCTTATCGATTATAGATTAGCTATTATAAAATTCTGAAAAAAAATACAAGGACTAATTTATTTTTATAATAAGCTTATGGATTAATTTGAAAATTTTTTGGCTAGAATATCGTTTTTTTTAGCTTCAAAAATTCTAGATTTGAAGATGAACAATACATTGAAGATGAACAATACATTATCTTATAAATATATAACAATAAAATTTGAAAAATTATCTATTGTCAAAAAAAAATAATTAATGGAATCTAACATGAATTTTGTCTTTTATTTTTTTTAATTATTAACTAAAATTTTAGGAGAAGTTTATTAAAAGTAATTTTTCAATTTAATTCCATGAAAACTTAAAACTAGACAGAGAGTCAAATTTTTTTTTTAATAGACGATAATTATTAATTTTTTTATTTACTTCAAAAACAAAAATTATTTGATAGAAGAACAAAATTTTTTTTCTTAAAACTCATTTTTTTCGACAAGAGAAATTAGAAATCAAGAAATTTGTTTTCTATAAAAATTTTATTTTTTTTATTTAACAGCAAATTTTGTAATTAAAACTAGCAATCTTGCAGTCACCATGTGACTGCTGTGACTTGTGAACTATAAAAAAAATAAAATTTTGCTTTGTTAAATAATGACTTTTGTTAAATTGCACTGTACTTTCTTAACTATTGACAATTTTAAAGATATAAGCTCATCCCGATGTTACACTCATCAAGAGCTTTCATTTGAGTACCCACATGCATTTTTGATATATTTTTCATATATACATATATATAATATATATTTTCAAGATATAAGCTCATCCCGGTGTGAGACTCATCGAGACCTTTCATTTGAGTACCCACATCAATTTTTCATATAATTATATATAAATATATGAAAAATTGATGTGGGTACTTAAATGAAAGGTCTTGATGAGTGTAACATCAGGATGAGCTTATATCCTTAAAAATGTCAATAGTTCACGAGATACAAGGTCATTTTTTAATATTGTATCTAGAGATAGAGCAACTCAAGACTTTCAAGGATACCAAATTAAACCATAAAAACCCATTTTATCATAAAAATACACTGGCCAGAAAATTTTGCTTAATCTCTTGATAATATATATTAAAAAAAAATAATTTTTTTCTCTTAATATCTTTTGTTCTATTATTAAGTGAAAATTTCAAGATAATAATTTTTCTCGAATTATTTTTTATTTTTTTTTTAATGAACACGACACCCAATGTTACTTTTTATATAATCACAAGACCATTAAGTTCTCATTAGCAAATTTAAAAATAAAGAAATCAAAATATCAGGAATTTAAAAGAAAAAATAATTAAAAGTAAGATAAGTGATTAAAAAAGAGTTTGTATCTAAGAGCGAGTGGACAGACAAGGCAACTTGAAGCTGCAATTATGCCAGGATTTGGTGGAGATTGAAGGAAAGACTCCAGAGATGCAGGGTGGAGGGCGGTGGAAGTAACGAGGGGCAGTATATAGGAACAGGGATGGAGGAAGAAAGGGTTGAGTTTGGCCGGGAGAAGCGGAACAGAGACAGAAGGCCAGGAGGAACGTGGGCGACTTGGAACTTGCAATTAAACAGCAACAATTACACGGGGGTAACTTTAGACTGTAATAACACGGAATAAAGGGTTGGCTCCTCGCCCCACCGAGTCCCCTTTACTGCCCCTCGCCCGGATCCCACCCAGTCTGGTTACCGGATGATTTACCGATCCAATTAGCTCTTCGCGGGGACTCTTCTAAAAAGACGTCCGGTCTAATTTAACGGGCACTCCAATTAAATAGTAACCCTACAATCTCGATTCTTTCTTCTCTTCTCTTCTCTACTGGTATAGGCTCCTGTTCCCTTCTCGTTAAATCGCTTTCAATTGCAGATTCCAGCTCAATCTCGGCTTTCGATTTTGGTTTTTTAGGTTATTCTCTTCGAATAATTTTTTTAGGTCAAAGAGAAAAATTTTTTCTAAAATTCACTGATAAATTTATGAGATTAATTATTGGAACGTATTATAATTGAGCGCTGCTTTATTATTTATCAGTAATAACAATAATCTTTTAATTATATGTCAATAAATTTAAATTTATCAGAGTCTCCTGTAAAATAAAAACGCCAGCTTACCGCACTTAAAAATAGAATTATTCTTAGACATATTTTTATAAAAAGAATATTATTATTTTTTTATAGGTTTTATATTTTCGAAAAGCTAGATTTTAGTTTAAAAAGATTAAGTTTTTAATTAATTTTTTTTTTTAAAGTTATTTTACTTGAAAATTTATATAAAATAATAACTAGTAGTTGAAAAAATTTAATTTAACGAGATTTTTAAATGTCATTAGAGTATATTTATACAAATAATATTTAACTAATGGCTTAAAATTTTATTAGAGTAATAATTGTATAAAAGTTTTTTAGAATTAGTTATTAATTATATAAGAAGTCTTCAGCGATTACAGCGCCACATTAAAATCGGGGGATAATATTGCACTTGGATTTATTTTTACAAGAAAGTCCGGTAAATTTTGTAGTAGTTTCAGAAAAAAACAATTTATTTTATTGTAATTTTTGATATTAAAACAGTAAAAATAATTATTTCTACACAGTAAAAAATTTTGCGTCAAAAAATTTTGTATTAAAAATTTTTATGTTAAATATTTAACACTTTTTTGTGTTGATTTAACACAATAAATGTTAAATTTACACATAAAAGTGTTAAATATTTAACACAAAAATTTTTTGACGCAAAATTTTTTACTGTGTATTAATTTTTCACGTGTATTTTCTTACCGGTACAGTACAGTAAAAATTAATAGTACTTTTCAAGATTTTTTTAAATTTTATCCGTAAATAATTATTGAATAAATTGTAAGTCGTTTTTTAGTATTGTAAAGAAGAACATGATTTTAATTTTCTAATAAATATTAATTACTACCTATTCAACTTCATAAAAAACTAAATTTCTTAAAATAATAAAAAAAAAATTTTTAATTGACTAATTTCATAATTTAAGTAAAATGAAGCAGTCGAGTACCGAGACTATTACCTAATTCATTACCAATTCAAATGACGGAATTTTATTGATGGAAAACTAAAGCTTGACATCGACTAAAATAACACTTGACCCTCTTTGTTTTTAATTGCCGTTTTTATCCAGATAAAAGTAATTATCTGTGCTTTTGTCAACAGTTAACTCATCACGTTACAGCTTGCTGCTTCTTATCGATTCAAAATCATTTAAGTTATAATTAATAACGGGCCGATAAAGTTTAATGAATTCTACTTTTTTATTATAATATTTCCGATTTAAAAAATTGATACTATAATTTTTTTTTTAGGATTTTAAATAAAAAAATATTAATTAAAAGCCTTCAAATCTCCTGAATGCACACAGTATGAGTAACAGTGTCAAACAGTAATTGTTAAAAGTATATTTATTTTATTTCAGCGTGAAATATCGAGAGAGCCATTGTTAGACATTTCGACAAATGCGTCCACACAAAACGATATGTTATAAACTGTAGGATCAATTTAACGTTTTTTACCATCAATGTATTGTTTATATCGACAGTTTCCTTTCTTTTTCTCTTCCTCTCACTCATCCCTTGATAACCGCGACAGTCTTCGGTATCTTCCGCCTTTTTTCACTATGTGTACACCCGTATCGCTATTTATATCTTCCACCCTCTTTTGCTCTCTTTTCATTTCCTCCCTTTTGCTTTATGTACATTTGTTATATTGACTCGTGACAATTACTTACGGGCTTTAATAAATCGATTGTTCAATCTAACGGGTAAGAAAAGAAATAAATAAATGAAATGTATCTAATACCAAATACTCTAATTATTTTTCAATAGGTTAAAAACTAAAGTTTGGAAAATTCAAAAGTTCACAATTTACAAGGTCATTTTTTTATAAATAAAAAAATTAAACATAAATATTTTACATTAAAATTATTATTATAAGCAATATTTTGTGACGAGTGTATTTATATGATAAAATGGGTTTTTATGTCAGTATAGTCAATTTATGATGATAAGTATTTAGGCTACATTCTAAAATTCTCTATCTCTTGTAAACTATTGACATTTTTACAGATATAAGCTCATCCTGACATTACACTCATTGAGACCTTTCATTTGAGTACCCACATCAATTTTTCATATATTTATATATATATATTACATATATGTATATATGAAAAATTTATGAAAATGCATGTGGGTACTCAAATGAAAGCTCTTGTTGAGTGTAATATCGAGATGAGCTTATATCTTTGAAAATGTCAATATTTAAGGGAGTACCGTGCAATTTAACAATATATGAGATACATAATTAAAAAATGGCCTTGTATCTCGTGAACTATTGACATTTTTAAAGATATAAGCTCACTCCGACATTACACTCATCAAAACCTTTCATTTGAGTACCCACATCAATTTTTCATTTATTCATATATATTACATATATGTATATATGAAAAATATATCAAAAATGCATGTGGGTACTCAAATGAAAGCTCTTGATGAGTGTTATATCAAGATCAGCTTATATCTTTAGAAACGTCAATAGTTAAAAAAATACAGTGCATTTTAACAAAAATTCATTATTTAATTAAGCTAAATTTTATTTATTTATAGTTCTCGAATCTCGGCAGTCACATAGTGACTGCAAGGTTGCTAGCTTTTATTATTTTTATAATAAATAAGTATAATAGAATATGAAGAAAAAACTGTTTTAAAATGTCGATTTTTTAACAAAAAAAAAAAAGGTGATTTAAAAAATAAAAATTTACGATTGATTTATTATCAAGTTAATTTTGAATGAAAAATTCTAAAAAAAATTAATCAAAAATAGCAAACATCACCCAAAAGTTAACTAAAGGATTGAGTCATTAAAAGAGAAGCATGCCGAGTTAACAATTATCGCAATTTCGTTAGCGAGTTCTAGAAAGTGACAGATAGAAGCACGAGTCGGGGGTGGAAAATGAGAATGGGAGTGGAATAATGTGTATAAAGTATCTTTAAACGGGACGAGCTTTGATCCAGCCCGAAATGCGACCGGGCTGGCATAAACCAGATATATTAATAATCGCACGGCAAATAGAATTATCGCGTTGCACGTACGGCACTCATTCCATTCCTCATTTGCGCTTACTCCGGGCTATTATTATATGATCCATGATCCTACTCGACTATTCTCTCTTACTCGCTACTCGGTTTAGTTGTTCGCTACTCATAAGAGTTTGTATTTGTCTCACCCAAATTAAAATGAATTAATATCACGTGAATTATGAATATGAATCCTTCATATTTTTATCACACAAACACACACTTATATAATATATATTATGCATTATATGTTTAACGTAATACGTAACTTCGCTCAACTGTGATTCCACGATGATGCTAATTTATTTTTTTAATAAAACTATTTTTATTCCACGGTCCTTTATTAATTTTTATCCCTGGCTTTTATTATTTCGCTTGTGAAAAATAATTATTTTTTAATTAAAAATTGTTTGATGTGATATTATTATGTTTTAATTACTTTTTTTTCCAATTTAAAGTATGCGACACTCTTCTTTGACGACCGAGTGTTTACCGTGTGATTTTTATAAGTTTGCGTGTTTGCTGTTAGATGGCCCTGGGTGTCTTGTTTCTCGCAAGTACATTTGAAAAACAAGAGTTTGCTTTTTAAAATGATTATTATTTTATTTAAAAAAATTATTATTTACAAATAAATAACTAGTTTATTTATTAAATAATAAATATTTTGATTTTTTGTTCCAGTTTCTGCGTAGGAGACAGGTTCTACCTTTGCGACAACAAAATCCTCTGTGAGTACGACTACGAAGAGAGACTAGTTTTCGCGAATATGGCCCTACACCCCCCAGTATCTCTCACCCATTTGAAAAGACAACTTCCGCCGACACCAACGCCGACGCCTCCGGGAGCTACGCAGAATCTCCATCCGGGTCACAATCAGATTCATCAAGGACATCCGCCACAGACACTCGGACAATCTGTGCCACACAATCACGTCAATGTGAGTTTGTTTTTTTATTCTAGTCCATCTTCCGGCTGAGTTTTATCGCGTTTATTTTTTTTTCCCAAAACTTTAAGCTGCAATTTGTTATTTATCTAATAAAGTTTTTTCGATAATTTTTAATTCACGAGAAAAATATATTTTATTATTAAACAACACGAAATTTTCAACAAAAATATTGACTTTTGTTAAATTGCACTGTACTTTCTCGACTATTGACTTTTTTAAAGATATAAGCTCATCCTGATATTTCACTCATCTAGACCTTTCATTTGAATACCCACATGCATTTTTGATATATTTTTCATATATACATATATATGATATACACTTTAAAGATATAAGCTCATTACGATGTTACGCTCATCAAGAGCTTTCATTTGAGTACCCACATGTATTTTTGATATATTTTTCATATATACATATATGTAATATATATAAATATATGAAAAATGCATGTGGGTACTCAAATGAAAGGTTTTGATGAGTGTAATGTCGGAGTGAGCTTATATCTTCAAAAATGTCAAAAGTTCACGAGATACAAGGTCATTTCTTAATTATGTATTTCATATATTGTTAAATTGCACTTTACTTCCTTAAATATTGACATTTTTAAAGATATAAGCTCATCCCGATGTTACACTCATCAAGAGCTTTCATTTTAGTACCCACATGCATTTTGATATATTTTTCATACATACATATATATAATATATATAAATATATGAAAAAATGATGTGGGTACTTAAATGAAAGGTCTTGATGAGTGTAACATCAGGATGAGCTTATATCTTTAAAAATGTCAATAGTTCACGAGATACAAGGTAATTTCTTAATTATGTATCTAGAGACAAAGTATTTTCAAATGCAACCTAATAATATGAATTCTTGAAAAGGCTCAAATTCAAATCAAAACCTTTGCAATGACACTAAATTTCACCAAAAAAACTAATTTTATCATATGACTATCCTGTACACAAAATTTTCCTTATTCTCTTGATTATATAGATGACCCTGATTATTTTTTTTTTCTGTGAAAAAAAATTTTTTTTCTTTAATTTAGTAATTAAAAATTAAATAAAATATTTAACTTTTTATTTGACAGGGTCAAATATCAAGTACACCAATAAACGGAATGTCAGGAGCACGTGGTCCAGGTGACATGAATAATAACGGGTTATCGGGTCCAGGATTAGGGGCAGTCAAACCACCCCCGATGTCAATGCCGGCACCGACCAGCTGAGACGAGGCTCCACCTATGAAAAAGCTCCGGTGTCTTGATAGTTATTAACAATAACAATTTTATTAATTGATAAAGTTAGAAAACATTATTATTAACATTGATATTAATTGACCGACTAATAACGAGTTAACCAAGTACGTCCAAGCTAAAAATAATTCACTAGCGATTATTTTTCGGGCCTGTGATGAGACGGACTAAGTGAGGGTGATACGGCTAACAAATAATGATAAATAAAAAAAATAGTGTATGATATTTAAGTACCGAAGCTTGTGTAAGATATTTTTTCGATTGAGTGCACTCGCACATGTAAATACTGAATAAACTATTTAAATAAGTTAAATAATTAATAACTACTATTGATAATGGTAGGCTAAGTAAGACGAAGATCATTATAATTTAATAATTATTTATGTTGGAAAAATGGCAATAGATAATGAGTATACGATTATAATTACGATTATAAGTACTCTGATTTTTCCAAATCTGTTACTGAAAATATAGTTCATTCAATGGTTCATTTATTTTTATTATTATGAGTTTTTAGTCTCGTACAGCAACAACCAAAGATGTTACTTATAAGTTTTAAGTGAACAAGCATTGCTCTTTCATTTTTGTTTTAAATAATGAAAAAAATTTATTTTATTCAAGAGAAAAATTTTGAACATAGAAAATTTTTTTTTCATTCTAAAAAATTTTTAAACTAAGTAAAATTTGATAAAAATTTTTTTAATGTTTTTTATTGATGATAAATACGATTAAAATAATTTTTTTTTGTGTAATTAATTATTAAAAAAGGCAGCCTTAATTTTATTGAAAAAAAAAATTTATTAATGCTAAAAAAAATAATCTTAATTAATAAAAAAAAAAAATAATTTTTGAGTAAATAATTTTGGCTTGATTTGAAATAAAAAAAATTTTTTTTTTTTAATTTTTCTACTTCAAAATTATTTTTCTTGGATCAAATGAATTTTTGAATTTTTATGTCAGTGCAGAGTAATTATCTCTGACTAATCAATTACTTGCACACTATACTGTCTCTTGTAATAGAAAACTAAGTTAATGGATAAATACCAATTAATTGTACTGTCAAATAATCCAGTGAGACTATTTTTTAGTCATAGGTTTTATGTTGATATAATTAATAATTACCAATTTAATACCAAATAAGCGCCAATTTTTTATTATTATTAATCCTTTAACAAATTTTAGAAATTTTAAGTAAAAAAAATAATGTAATTTTTCTAAAAAAGTCAAAAATTTTTGTGTAAAAATTTGGAAATTTTTATTTGGAGATAAAAATTGTAAAAATTGTTAAAGGATTAATGATAATAATTATAAAACACATAAATAAAATAAAACTACACTTTTTTATAATCCAGTACAAATTTGCTCTGTATAATTGCGTATGTTAATTGATTGATGAAGCATCGATATTAATGTATGCGTATGGGTGATATATACATATACTAAGTGTTTATAAGGACGTGAATGTTTTGAACTGTGGTATGGTTGTACTGAGAGCGAGTGAGCTAAATAAAAATAGGGAGAAAGTGGGAGAATAAACTATTGTTGTACTTTTAGTAATGCGTTAACCACTCTTTGTTGTTTTTCATTGTATATAACGTCATCATTAGTGCACTATTAATTATGTATAATTAAGATCTGTAGTTCCATTACTACTGAGAGAAAAAACGAAAAGAATTAAAAAAATATACGTTCTTATTGATATCAATTGTTTTTTATTCGTACCTACCTTTAATTTAAATTTTATTTACATCCATAAAAAATTTTCGACCAATATTTGAAAAAAAAAGATTTTTTGAATATTATAAAAATTTGGACGACAGTTAACATGTTGTATTAAACAAAATTGGCTGAGTAATTGATTAAATTAAAAATCAATGCCAGATAAGCTTCTCAAGAGCGTCAAAAGAATTATTTTTATTTTATACCTTATATTTTAAAATTTAACTCTCCGGTGGGGAGAAAATTTAGCAACCATGCGCCACCTGTTGGAAATTTCTGAAACTAAATTCAGTCGAAAATTGATATATGGGCATATATGATCATATCTAACCGTACCAAGTTATATTAGGCCATATATAGTCACATGTGTCTATATATGGCAAATTTTTATATCATGCCATTTATAGACATCCAATTTTTTGATAACCAATTACTCTGGAGTCCAATTAAATCCAAAAAAAAAATTATTTCAATAAAAAAAATTTTAGGAAATGAATTTTTTTTTCTTATTGAATAAAAATAAATTTTATTCATTATAAATTTACAAAATTAAAATTTTTTTTGTATTGTAAAAAAATAAATTTTAATATTTTCAAATAATTGCATCGATTTTTTTTTTCTACAAGTTTCATTTTTCAATAAATTTTTTTAAAATAATTTGTTAAAAAATCTTAAAAATTATATAAATGTTTTTTTTAATAATATTTAAATAATAAATTTTGAATTATTGAATGCATTAATGTTAATAATTTATTATTTTGAACCTTTTACCAAATCAATCGACATTTGATTGTTATTAAGAATATTACCAAGTCATATATAACATTTGACACATGATACGTGATATGTGACATCTAATATATGTAATATGTGTCCACATATATTTCCAAGTACCCTCGAAATTTGGGTGTCTATAAATTTGAACTCGCAATATGCCAGCGAAGGGCGAGGGTAAGAGTGCGACTACGACGTAACTCGCCGTCACAGTTTTAAGGAGTTCCATCCAACCTCTACTCCCATTATAAAGTCTTCACGGAGTATAATAACATCGGAGTTCGTCGGCTGGAAGACATTAGGGAAATCACTCGCTAGTATCCAGTAACCAAACTTACGATCCGCGAACCTTACAGTAGAACCTTTCTACTCACTTTAGCTTTTATACTTTCTATGATCTCTATATATTTTAATATAAATATACTAATACCTTCTATTTGGAAGAGAACGACCAAGTAAATCTATTAAACTTACTTCTGTTAACATTAAGGGTACGTTATTATTTTCTGATCTTGATTTCACAGTTATAATTTTTTTTCCCAATTTTCTAAATAAATTTTTAATTTAAATAAAGATTAATCGATCAAATTCTAAAAATTTACCCTTACAAAATTAAAATCAAAGCTCTCTTACAAACAGTTAATAAGCACATAAAGAATGTTTCATGTTGGTTTAATTTTGATAGGAAGCATAAACAAATTAAAAGGGAGCGAAGAATGTCTGGAAAGCTTTTAGCATAAGCTTACAACGCGAGATCGATATAGGCCTCGGGCGCCCAGGGAAACCGATCAAAGTGTAACTGCGTCCGGCTGGCATGTCAGCTCCGCCGAGTGATGTTAAAAGGGCGCTGGTTCGGCCAGAAGGGTTATGACCGGCCATACCGAGCTTATGGGCGATTGCCACTGATAGAATCAGCGCTCTGGTCACTCATACCCTCCTTTTTCCTTCCTCTTCCTCTTCCTCTTTTACCCCCGAAGCCTAGACTCGTGAGCTTTTCCTCATAATCACTTTTGGATTAATTAAATTTTACGCTCCCGTCAATAAACATTAAATTTAACGACGATACACGCCGTACATCCGCTTGGATACCGTTTGAATGGTTACTGGTTATCCAGCCGGATGCCATCACTCGTCGGCTATTAAAATTCTATTTAATCATTCTTTAAATGGATAAATTTTGTCCGATTTAAGTTTGTTCGCTCGAACGAAAATAATTAAATTAAATTAATATTAGATAATAACGTTTATAATATTGATGATGTTTGTAAATATTTTTTTATTGTTTAAAAAATTAATGACATTAAAGTTAGCAGTCACTTGACCACTTTTTAATTTTTTTTTTAACAAACAAATTTATTCCAAAAAATGATTTTTAAAAAATTGCACTTTTTGTTTTTTACAATTTCTAGATGTCAGTTTTTTTAAATAATTTTTTTTGCCATAATTTATTTGTTACAAAAACTCTTAAAATTATCAAATATCTGCTAAATTAATTTTCATAAAAAATTAATGAGCGTTATGAGGCGTGCACTCTTGGATTTTCCAAACTTTTGAATATTAGAATCATCTTACCTTTTTTCTTATTAAAAAAAAAAAATAGTATATTACACTACAAGGGCAGAAAGTTGAGATTCCTGCACTGCGCCCCATCATGGCACGCAGTTCAGGGCTCTCAAATTTCTGCCCATGTAGTGTATACTATTTTTCTTGCTATGCGGTCGAAAGTACGTTAAAAATTGCGTTGAAAAAAATTGATGCCTGCCCCCGACATTTGCGGCACGAGCGCAGCGAGGGGGGCAGGCATCAAATACACCTGTCAATAAAGATATTAATATATAATCTATCATATTACTACTTTCTTTTAAGAAAAGATTTTAATTTAATTCAATAATTTTAAAGTTTTAAATATATTATAAATTAATTCTGATATTAAAAATAAAAAAAAAATAAAAAACAAAAATGAATTCATAATCGTGAAATGCATAGAAAAAAAAATTTTTAAAAAAATCTGTTTGTGTTTTTTTTAAAATAATTACTTGTTCAATAATGAATTTATTTATTTATTTGAGAAAATCTATCAGAATAAAATATATATATTTTTTTTTATTTGTAATTTAAATATTTAACAAGTCTCATTTCATTAAAATAAATATTCATTTTCTGTAATTAACTTAGTTTCAACTTAAAATCATTGACACATAACAAAACAGATACATTCGTAACAATCACAAGTAAGGTTAGGCTTGTATACATAAGTAATAGAGTGCGTGTTTTTTTTAAAATAATTACTTGTTCAATAATGAATTTATTTATTTATTTGAGAAAATCTATCAGAATAAAATATATATATTTTTTTTTATTTGTAATTTAAATATTTAACAAGTCTCATTTCATTAAAATAAATATTCATTTTCTGTAATTAACTTAGTTTCAACTTAAAATCATTGACACATAACAAAACAGATACATTCGTAACAATC